CAGAGTGAGATCTTGTCTTAAAAAAAAAAAAAAAGTTATTCTTGGTGTGTCTTTGATGGTGTCTCTGGAAGAGATTAACATTCAGATGGGTGAACTGAGTAAAGCAGTTTGCCTTCTCTAATGTGCATGGGCCTCGTCCAATCAATTGAAGATGTGAACAGAACAAAAAGGCTGACCAGGAGGAATTTCTCTGCCTCATTTCCTGAACTGAAACATTGGTCTTTTCCTGCTTTTGGACATGAATTCAAATCACCTTTTCTTGTGTTTCTAGCCAGCAGCCTTTTGGCCTGGAATTTACAACATTAACTCTCCTGCTCTCCTGATTCTCAGACCTTCAGTTTTGAATAGGAACTATACCATAGGCTCTCCTGGAAATCAAGTTTGCCTACTGCAGATGTTGACAAATCTCAGCCTTCATAATTACATGAGCCAATTACTTATAATAAATCTTTATCACTATGGCTCAACTTACAATTTTTCAACATTATGGTGGTACAAAAGTGATATGCATCCAGTAGAAACTGTACTTTGAGTACTCATACAACTGTTTTTCACTTTCTGTACAGTATTCAATAAATTACACAAGATATTCAATATTTTATTATAAAATAGACTTTGTATTGAATGATTTTGCCCAGGTGTAGGCTAATGTAGGGGTTCTGAGTGTGTTTAAGGCAAATTAGGTTAAGCTGTGATGTTCAGTAGGTTAGGTGTATTAAGTGCATTTTTGACTTATGATATTTTCAACTTAGGATAGGTTTACTGGAATGTAACTCCGTAATAAGGACCCTCTGTGTGTATGTGTGTGTGTGTGTATGTACATATGTATGTGTGCTTGTGTGTATGTGTATACACATACAGGCATATTACTGTACTTTGCTTTATTGCACTTCACAGATATTTCATGTTCTTTTACAAACAGAAGTTTTGTGGCAACCTTATATCAAGTGTGTCTATTAGCACCATTTTTCCAATAGCATGTGTTCACTTTGTGTCTCTGTCATATTTTGGTAATACTCACAATATTTCAAACTTTTTCATTATTATTGTAATAGCTGTTGTGGTGATCTTTGAACAGTGGTCCTTGATGTTACTGTTGTAATTGTTTTGGGGCAGGCACTACAAACTACACCCATCTAAGATGACTAACTTAATTGATACATGTATGTGCTCTGACTGCTTCACTGACTGGCTGCTTCTGGGTCTCTTTCCCTGTCCTCAGGCCTCCCTATTCCCTGAGACACAACAATATTGCAATTAGGCTATTATATTAACCCTACAATGGCTTTGAATGTTCAGGTGAAAGGACAAGTCCCATGTCTATCACTTTAAATCGAAAGCTAGCAATGATTACACTGAGTGAGCAAGGCATGTCAAAAGTCGAGACAGGCCAAAAGCTAGGCCTCTTGCACCAAACAGCCAGGTTGTGAACACAAAGTAAATGTTTTTCAAGGAGATTAAAAGTTCTCCTCTAGTGAACACATGAATGAAAAGAATGCAAAACAGCCTTATTGCTGATAAGGAGAAAGTTTTAGTGACCTGGATAGAAGATCAAATCGGCCACAACATTCCCTTAAGCCAAAGCCTAATCCAGAGCAAGGCTCTAACTCTATTCAATTCTATGAAGGCTAAGAAACATGAGGAAGCAGCAGAAGAAAAGTGTAGCCAGAAGAAAAGTTGGAGCTAGCAAAGGTTGGTTCTTGAGGTTTAAGGAAAGAACCCATCTCCACAACATGAAAGTGCAAGGTGAAGTAGCATGTGCTCATGTAGAAGCTACAGCAAATTATCCAGAGACATAGGTAAAATAATTGATGAGGGTTGCTATACTAAACAAAGTATTTTCAATGTAGAGAAAACAGTTTTATAGTGGAAGAAGATGCCATGTAGAACTTTCATAGCTAGAAAGTAGAAAACAATGCCTGGCTTCAAGGCTTCAAGGACAGACTGACTCTTTTTTTTAGGGGCTAATAAAGCTGGTGACTTAAAATTGAAGCCAATGTTCTGAATATCCTAGGGCCCTTAAAAATTATGCTAAATATACTCTGCTTGCGTTCTAGAAATAAAACAACAAGCCTAAATGACAGCACCCCTGTTTATAGCATGGTTTACTGAATACTTTAAGCCCACTATTGAGGCCTACTGCTCAGTGATTCCTCTGGTAGACCCAGGCAAAGTAAATGGAAAAATCTTCTAGAAAGAATTCATCATTTTACATGACTTTGTGAACATTGTGATTCAGAGGAAGAGGTCAAAATATCAACATTAAAAAGAATTTGGAAGAAGTTGATTCCAATCCTCATGGATGACTCTGAGAGGTTCAAGACCTCAGAGGAAGAATAACTGCAGATGTGATGGAAACAGCAAGAGATCTAGAATTAAAGTGGAGCCTGAAGATGTGATGGAATTGCTGCAATCTCATGATCAAATTTGAACAGATAAGGAGTTTTTTCTTCTGGATGAGTAAAGAAAGTGGTTGCTTGAGATGGAATCTACTTCTGGTGAATATGCAGTGAACATCATTCAAATGACAACAAAAGGTTTAGAATATTACATAAACTTGATAAAGCAGTGGCAGGGTTTGAGAAGATTGACTTTAATTTTGAAATAACTTCAACTCTGGGTAAAATGCTATCAAATAGTATCACATGCTTACGGAAAAATCTTTTGTGAAAGGAAGAGTCAATGGATGCAGCAAACTTCATCGTTGTCTTATCTTAAGAAATTATTAGAACTATGCCAACTTTCAGCAACCACCACCCTGATCTGTTAGCCATCAACGGCGTCAAGGCCCTCCACCAACAAAAAGATAATGATTCACTGAAGGCTCAGATGATTGTTAGCAGTTTTTAGCAATAAAGTATTTTTAAATTAAGGTAAGTACACTATTTTTATAGACATAATGCTATTGCATATTTAATAGACTATAGTAGTATAAACGTAACTTTTATATGCAGTGGGAAACCATAAAATTCATGTGACTTGCTTACTATGGTATTTGCTTTATTGCAGTGGTCTACAACTGAACCTGTAACATCTCTGCAATGTCTCTGTGTGTGTGTGTATATATAAATATATACACATATATACATACATATATACGAGTGTGTGTATATGTGTATGTATACATACATATATACACACACATATACATGTATATATACACATATATTTATGAGTAGTTCTGTTTTGTTGGAGAACTCTGACTAAGGTAGAAGGTTGAAAAAAAGGATAGACCTTCTTTGAATTAAAAGGGACTTAACACTTTGGAGAAATTACAATTAAAACCAGGAGGAGAACCTCACCAGAACAACAAAAGTGGAAAAGATGGAAAATATCAAGTGTTGGTGAGGATATGGATTAAGTGAAACTCTCACACACTGCTGGTGGGAATATAGATTGAAAAAAAAGACGCTGTAAAAACTGCTTGGTGGTATCTACGGAGCCACATACGGACATACCCTATGACTCAGGAATGCTATTTTTTGGTATACGCCCAAGAGAGATGAAAATATATGTCCATCTATTTGATACAAACAAAAATGTTCATATGATCATTACTCATGATAAGTCAAAAACTGGAAAATACCCAAGTTTTTATAACAGGTAACTATATTATGAAATATCCAAACAATATAATACTTTACAGCAATGAGAATGAATAATCTACAACTACAAACAGCAATACACATTAATCTCACACACATTATGTTGACTGAAGGGAGCCAGATACAAGAGAGTGCATGCTGTATGATTCCAGTAATATTTCTTCTAACCTCCTGATAAAATTTGAGGAAGGAGAATATCAACAACCCATTTCTTTTTCTTTTAAGTTACTTAGTGTCCTCTTATGTTATGTAATGTAACCTCAGAGAAGCAAAGCAAGTTTCTTCTAAGCCCTTTAGAAGTGAACAACTGCATATAAGATCAAAGGCTAATACTATGTCTGGTGGACAGACCACTGTGTGTGAGTGATTCAGATGAGAATCATACATGGATGCTCTCAGTCTGCACAAAATCCCACAGTGGTCAATGAGTCACCATGGTAACCATGCTGGCCAAGGAAAGGTGGAAAAAAAGCAAAGAATAATCACTCTGATTTGGTTCATAAAATGTGCAAAGAATTGAAAGAGACTGACATGACCACATTAACACTCCTTAAGTGTTCCTAACAATAGATACTCATCACAACTTCAGTGATATAAACATATACATATGTGCATGTACATACACTGATGTATCCACATGCTCTCTCCCTCGCTCTCACCATCAAAGAACTCATGATTCATCACGTGAGGAAGAAAAACACAATTCAACTGATTCAATTCTAACCACAAATATAAAATTGGAAGTACTATAACTATTCTTTTATAGATTGATCTTTCTAGAGTTGACCTGTAGATTGTCTCTAGGCCTTTTCTTCCTTTCTTGAGTTGGATGACTCAGTTTTGTTATGATGGCTGTTCTCCCCAAAATGATCTATGCTTTCAATGGAATCCCAGTCAAAATACTAGCATAAATTTTTTTCTAGAAATTAACAAGCTGATATTAAAATTCATGTGGAATTCCCTCAATTTTTGTTTTTCTGATTTAAAGTCTTTAAAAAAATGTAAAATGAGGCTAAAGCCGATAGACTGCAAGGAGAAATATTAATACATGAATCAAACTGCTAGGAACACCTTCCAACCAACTGCATAGTTCAACCCCCAACTGGGAGATACATGTGAATGACTTATACAGTCAGAAAAAAATTTGTATTTACTACAAGTGCATATTAAGATCAAGTTCTTTCTTCAGTGTGGGTAATTCATTGCTTTCAAAGCAGGCATCACTTAGATGGGTGTCAAGGGCTACTTCAAAGCATGCAGCTGCTGATGAAAGGAAATTCCCCCTGCTGTCTTCCCCAGTAATGAGATGAAAGTAGCTTCTTTACTTTTAGGCTATTTTGTGAACCTCACAGGAGCTATTCCACCACACGCTTTTGTTCAGATCTATGAACTCACCATAAGCAGGTGTCATGTCCTACCAGGGATGTAAGTGCTGGTGGTCTCCTAGGATTGTTGCCCTTTAAGTCAGGCGTAGAAGCTTTGGCAGCCATCATGACCCAAATCCTCAGAATCTGCCTCTTTCAGACACCTGATAGGAGCTCAGACATCCACATGAAGAGCTGCACAAGGAGAGAAAGAATCCAGCAATCACTGTGCTTTCTTAGAGTAATTATGTGCCTGGCACCATGCTAGGCACTGGGTTAGTGAACAATGACACTGATACAATTGGGCAGTGATCATAACAATTAGAAGGGTCATCAGTGGGTTTCTCACTAGGACCTTTTTCTTCTCCTTTCCTCATCTATCTTCTAACAACAAAATTGAAAAAGAACGAGAAGTGACCTCAACTCACACAGGCATTCCTGATTCTGCAATAACCACAGGGCTATGGGCTTGCATTTGTGTTATTACAATCCTGGTTGCAGCAATCCTGTATGTGAGCATTCTTTTTTTTTTTTTTTTTTTTTTTGAGACAGAGTCTTGCTTTGTTGCCCAGGCTGGAGTGCAGTGGCGCGATCTCAGCTCACTGCAAGCTCTGCCTCCTGGATTCACACCATTCTCCTGCCTCAGCCTCCCGAGTAGCTGGGACTACAGGCACCCGCCACCACGCCTGGCTAATTTTTTTGTATTTTTAGTAGAGACGGGGTTTCACTGTGTTAGCCAGGATGGTCTCGATCTCCTGACCTTGTGATTCTCCCGCCTTGGCCTCCCAAAGTGCTGGGATTACAGGCGTGAGCCACCGCGCCCGGCCGTATGTGAGCATTCTTATCCCCATTTTACAGAGGAGGAAGCTGAGGTCAAAGAGAGTCATTATCAGTCTCATCCTCCCACGTCTGGCCTTTATGTGGAAAGTAGCTACAGGACACCCTGGAGGAATACGCAACACTCACTGGGGTGAGAAAGAGCCCTGTATCTCTCTCATTCATCCCAGGGCAGTTCAGCCCCCACCATGGGGCACCCACACCCTCAGCTGAGTCCCAGACACCTGAAGGTAGGACCTTGCTCTCATAGCCATATTCTTCTAGGTCTTCTGCTCTATTAAAAGATGCAGAAGCCCCATAATAACTTCAGGTTTCCATGGCAACTGTGATGCATTGACTTGTCCTCTATATCTCACAAGCCTTTGCATAGTTCCTTTGCCTATAGCTGAAAGCAAAATACCTTCACACTTTAGACCACCACTTGCGAAAGCATACTCACTAGAGGAACTAGGCTGGGACCCAGGCAATTGGGGGAACTCTGCCCAGTTTGGTAGAAGAAAGCAGGTCCCTGTGGTCAAAAATTTTATTTGTTTAAAAGTGACAGTAGAGGAGTATCACCAGTATCCAGAGACCCAGGAGGTACCCCAGGGCTCTTGGTGATGAACTAGCCCTCTGAGAGTGAACTTGTAAAACTCACACATCATGCTAAGTGGTTAGTCATCTGTGGCGGAAAACTAGAGACTATCTATAATCATATTTATGATTAAAATGATCTAAAATACCATAAAATGTCATTTAAGCAATCTCACATTTATTTCATGGAAGCAGGCCTATAATAATATAATCATTTAGTAGGCAGACATCTAGTCAATTCAATAATACATTGGGTTACCCTGGAAAATTTTTATCTTACATTTTTGATACTTTTTCCATGTGAAGAGACATCCATGAAAAACAAACAAACAAACAAACATGTAGCCTCTCTATACACTCACTCACTCCTTCTCTATCACAGGAATGACTTAACTGATTGGTAAATCTGAAAGGAGAAATGGGTTGTTCAACCCAGGTCCTCTCCCTTCAAAACTCTAAATAGTAAGCTGCCCTTCTGGGCAATCATTCTGCTCTGTCCTCAGGGATGGGTCTTACAACAGGCCTACAGCTCTACTCCCCTTTCTGTGCCTCACTGGCTCCTCAACTCTTTCTACGGTCTTGCTTTACAATGCTTTCGTGTTTAAGAAGCCCCCAAAATACCTTTCTGCTCTTAGTCTGAACTCTAAACCAACTAAAAAAAAAATCACAAAAAACTAATAAGCATAATACATTGACCTTATTCCTCATAAAAGTGATATTGGACAATATGACTTAGATTTACTGTCACATGGGCTTTCTATGAATGAACCCCAGAACTGGACAGATTAGTCCATCCAGCAGTGCTGCATTGGGACAGTCACAAAGGTCAAGGAGTGCAATGAACAGTTAACCACGTGCTGTCTCCTGAGGAGCCCTGACTATGTGTACCCAAGGAAAGTAATCTCCTTGCCAAGGGCTATCCCTGTAGCAGGAGAAAGTATCTCAGGACACCTTCTTTGAAAAACAGTTCACAAGTGGTAGATATCCCTTGTCTCAATAGCATATTCATCAAGCAACCTGCTGAAGATATGATTTTCCATATGGCTTGGGAGTAGCATGTAGTAACAGCCTCTGAATTCCTTAAAATGAGTAATTGCAGTGGAAGCTCCTTTTATGGAGGGAGATTTGAATTAGATTCTAAATTCCAAGAGCGGGTTGAAAATCATATATTGTGAAATTTTCCCTTGAAAAATCACTTCAAGAAGGAATTAAGGAAATGTTCATAATTCAATACCCACACATAAACTCATATGCAGATTATGGCAAAATTTATAACAAAGTCCTACCAAGGCTTTAAGGCTAACAGAATCTCTACAAATTCCAGTATAATAGATTAGAGAAAAAGAGGGAAAGTTCACCAAATCCACATGTTTTGGATATTCATTTCTACTTAACAAAACGTCCCAAACAATAGCCATTTATTATCTCTCAGGATTTTGTGTGTTCACTAGGCTCCGCTGGATGATTTCTGCTCAATGTGGTATCTATCACCAGGGACTGCAATCATCTGAATACAGACAAATGCATCCTGGGACTTCCAAAAAAGCTCACTGACATGGATGACTGATGCTGGCATCTGCTGGCAGCTCAGCGGGGGCTACTGTGTAGAGCACCTTGGTTTAATACAGAGTCTTCCATGGGAAGCATAGAAAGATAAAACACAGCATATCTAGGTAAATCTGAATGTTTTAGTGTATATAATTTTGTTTATCTGAAGTTCAAATTCAACTAGTCATACTGTTTTGTTTTGTTTTGTTTTAAATCTGGAAAGTCTAAGGGGTGACCCTGTGAATCTGTAAGTTTAATGACCATCTGACATGATTCTTCCAATGGGAAAGGTCTGGCAAAAACAAGCAGATCAGATTGTCACAAAAAAAAAAAAAAAAAAAAAAAAAAAAGACAAAAGCTGGTAACACCTGGTATTTGTGGAATAAAGGGGCAATGAACACTTGGATACATGTTGGTGCCAAATTGGTGTATATATTTTTTGAGGCCCACATTATTACAACTTCATAACTTGAATGGCCTTCAATACAGAAGTCCTATTTCACCAACAAAAGAGTTTCAGGTGAGGGTTTAGAAAGGGATCCCAAAGTGATTCTGACCTGCAATTTGGTTAAGGAAGCTTGGGTGAGGGGGCAGGTTAGGAGTCATATGAACTTTTGGCCCCAAAGAGGAAAGACAGCTAATATTTACGAAGTCGATTTTTAGCCAAGCCTAGTGCTACATTCTTCACGTTAGTAGTTGGAATTAACCCACACAACAGCCCTGCTAGTGAGGTATTGCTATTCTCTCTCCACAGATGGATGTAACTACAAAGCACATATTCCTTACCAGAGAAGGATGGCAAAGACATTGCTCACCAGGCCTACTGCTAGAGCCAGGAATAGAATCTGTCAATGTGGGCACCCTGGGGTGCTGGTGGCATTTCCAGAAAGGATCCAAGTTTGGTGACCCTTCCCCCCCTTGCTTCAGGAATGGTTTGTGGCAGAGCTAGAAGCAGAAGCTTCACACATGAAGCCAGTATTTCTTCCATCTTTTATGAAAACTTAAAGAAAGGATTGGGCTGCTTATTATCTTGTAGGAAAGGGAGGACCTCTGAGGACACAGAGAAGGGAGAGGAAGAGAGATTTCTCCCAGACAGGAATGACGTCAGAGGTCTACAGGTCGCTCTAGGAGTAGGAACCTGAGAACTGCTTCATATCAAAGCTTGGAGTGGCTCCTGGATGGTCCACCCCGAGTGGGTATCCAGCGTGAGGCAGATTTTTCTGTTTGGATCAAAGGATAGATAACAGTGGTGGCATTTTTTTCCTATTTCTTGTATGCTTGATGCTCTGGCATCTGAGGCCTTGCTAACTGGGGAGGGACTGCTCCTTCCAGGGTTAGTTAATTCCCAGTCCTAACAAAAAACTCACCTAAGGAGCACACATTTTATATTCAAACTAATTAATCCAGAGCAACTACACATACACACTCACACTTCCTCTACTGGGCTCTTACTTTCCAGGCCAATAGTACCCTCCCCTAATCATATCAGAGCCTGATTCTGTCAGAGGCATTTGAACCAGAGAAACTCTATTTTGAATAGGAGCTAAGTAAAATAAGACTGAGACCTACTGGGCTGTATTCCCAGAAGGTCAAGGCATTCTTAGTCACAGGATGAGATAGGAGGTCATGAAGACCTTGCTGATAAAACAGGTTGCAGTAAAAAAGCCAGCTAAAACCCAACAAAACCAAAATGGCTATGAAAGTGACCTCTGGTCGTCCACACTGCTCATTAAGTGCTAGTTATAATGCATTAGCATGCTAAAAGACACTCCCACCAGCACCATGATAGTTTACAAATGCTATGACAACATCAGGAAGTTACCCTATATGGTCTGAAATGAGGAGAAACCTTCAGTTCTGGGAACTGCCCACACCTTTCTGGAAAACTCATGAATAATCCACTCCAGTGTTTAGCATGTAATCAAGAAATACCCACAAAAATGGGCAACCAGCAGCCCTCGGGGCTGCTCTGCCTATGGAATAGCCATTCTTTTATTCTTTTACTTTCTTAATAAACTTGCTTTCACTTTACTCTACAGACTTGCCCCAAATTCTTTCCTGAGTGAGATCCAAGAACCTTCTCTTGGGGTCTGGATCAGGACCTCTTTCCGGTAACAATTCCAGACAACTTAGGACAGCCCCTGCACCACAGAACCTGCTGAAATTATTCCGAGTAGTCAGTCCTAAGCCTAATTACCCTGCCTTGTCTGTCATTTACCACAGAAAACTACAATAAAGGCTTTTGCCGCGTTTACCTCCCGCCTAAATTGGTGGACTCTTGAGTGGACTTATGTGGAATGGAGAGTGCCTCCTCTTGGAAATTTCAAGTAACAAACTATCTCCTTAATGGCAGTTGTATCCTGATCCCTTGGCCTCACTATCCTAAATAATAGTAAAACCTACATTGTAAAACAATGCCTCAGGAAGATGGGACTTGAAGGCTGAGTCAGCTAGGAAAATGGGCAGCTTCCTGAGTCATGTGGACAGATGAGTGATGACTGCCAGAGCTCTTCCTGCTATACCAGGAGGCTAAATTCCCAAAAGTGTAACTGTTTCCTCAAAAAGCATGAAAATTTAACATTGCTATACTGTCTAATTGAACTGTATAATCTTTTTATTAATATGTATCCCAACCAACTATAAGAGAGCACCTGCTTTAGAGATCTGAACAAATGATAAGTTTCACAAGACTTTTTAAGTATTTGCTGATCTGATATCCTGGTGTTATAATGTTAGATTCCTTTTTTTTTTCTATCACGTTTTTAAATAAATGACATAGTTTACATTTATGCCTCAGAATATATCATAGAATAATTACTGAGTTTAGAAATAAACCCTGATGACTGATAGTGTGTGTTTATACTACATCCCATTTAAATGGAAAATGTAGGTGAAAAGAACTTCATACACTAATGGGGAAGAACAAATTGGTACAACCTCTTTGCAGAGACATTCGGCAACATCTATGAGAAAACAAAATGAGGCCCCCATCAGCTGCTACTCTCTTAATCACGGACTATACAGAGAAGCATGTGTGTTGCACCAGAAAAGGTATACAAGCATGGTCACAACATGTCTAGTCATATCAAAACAATCCCAAGGTCATCTTATTAGAGAAATCTCAGAAACATTATCTTTAGAGAATGAAAAGCTGGATAACAGCACTAACTTAGCTAAAAGTATGGAAACAATTGTATGCCTTGTGCAATTCTCTCACAAGAAGTCTGTGAGGAAGGCATCATTATTTCTAGTTTACAGATGACCAACTCAGACTCACTGATGGAAAATCAATTTTGCAGAGGCATCTAGTAATGATCAGGAGTGGGGATGCAACTCTTAGTCTCCTCAAAGGACAACACCTGGTCTCGTTTTAGAGATGATGACCGTCTAGGACTTTAACACTTGTAGTTTTTTATGTTGCTAGGATTGTTCCCTTATGTGTACTCACTCAACAACCTCTCTCTCTTTGAAGAAGCTGATGGTGCAGATGAAATCCCACTGCAAGGTACTGTAGGTGGTAATGGGTCTAGTATGAAGGTCAAGGGCTTGTGACTCCTACCTCCTCTTCATCTGCACTCTCTTTTCATTTGAGGCTCAATGGGAAACTGCTTTTCCAATATCAATCTAGAAGATCAAACAAGGCAGCAGAAAATGACAAGGAATTAAAGAAAATGGTTCAATGAGCTTCTTCAGTCTCCCTCAATCCTTCAGCAAAGTTCTCCTGCAACACAGAAATGGCCCTGGTGCTTCATTCATCATGTTCTACTTCTTCCTGCTCCATTTCCTGGTGGTCTTTGTGGCAGTTATGCTGTTTGGATTAGGTGACAGTCATCATTTCTCTGAGAGGAAAAGAAAAGGTGGGCCAGGGCAAACATTTGTTGAAGTCCTACTAGGTGCCATCTGCTCTGTACAGGATTTCCAATTTACCCCACAGAACAGTTCTGTGAGGAAGACATTGTGAGTTCCTTTTACAGATGACCAACAACAGGCTGACAGAGGCTAAGAAAGGATTCCAGTGTCATACATCAAGTAAGGGACAGGAATGAAGTTACAGCTTTTTACCATCATCACAATATCCATGCATTCTCAACAGAGGAGATATTGTCCCCAAGGGGCTGAAAATTGATTCTGGAGGGTAGGAAGATGGTAGACGTTACAATGGTTTGTGGCACTACAATGAACCACAGAGCACACAAACAGTTTACACTATATTGGTGCTATTAAAATTTGATGTTCTAGGCAGGAAGGAGCTAATGAGGAAAAAAATGAATGTCTAAAAAGCCTCCTTTGGATCCTAATAATGAAAGAAAGTTAAGAAACATTGCATGTACTCGGGGACTTCTGTGAATGATGAGCCACCAAGGCTTAGGGATTAGTCATTTTACACTCCCTCATGGATGCTCACTCAACAACCCCTCTTGGTGATGATGAAGATAATGATGATGGAAGTGAAATCCTTCCCCTAGGGCCAAGAGACCTTCGAATGGGAACCATGTGAACTGTCTTTTAAGATGGCAGACAGGGGCTCAGTCAGACAACAGGTATTTCTTCTGGGAGAGACGATATTAATGTTTTTAAAACTAATATTAAAACTGTAATCATATCGTACTCTAAGTTGTATATCCTTTAACCTTAACCTTCATCCAAGTAACCTAATGTGAAATCCATAGTTTAGGTCAGGTTATAGGAAGTTAGGAGAGGTTAAATAAATCAGGGGAACTATGTTGTTAATGCCTGCTCAGTAATAGAACCTGGAGTTTCATTCACACGTATGTTTATTGCGGCACTATTCACAAGAGCAAAGACTTGGAATCAACCCAAATGTCCATCAGTGACAGACTGGATTAAGAAAATGTGGCACATATACACCATGGAATACTATGCAGTCATAAAAAAGGATGAGTTTGTGTCCTTTGTAGGGACATGGATGCAGCTGGAAACCATCATTCTTAGCAAACTATCACAAGAACAGAAAACCAAACACCGCATGTTCTCACTCATAGGTGGGAACTGAACAATGAGATCACTTGGACTCGGGAAGGGGAACATCACACACCGTGGCCTATCATGGGGAGGGGGGAGGGATTGTATTGGGAGTTATACCTGATGTAAATGACGAGTTGATGGGTGCTGACGAGTTGATGGGTGCAGCACACCAACATGGCACAAGTATACATATGTAACAAACCTGCACGTTATGCACATGTACCCTACAACTTAAAGTATAATAATAATAAATAAATAAATAAATAAATAAATAAATAAATAAATAAGCAAAAAAAAAAAAAAGCTTTGTGCCTTGAGGCTGCCAGGAATCTGAGTGCTCTAGTCTCCCCGGCACTCATGTTCCAGTCTGCACCACAGATACCAAGATGTTGGAGTTTCTATTGTGATGCATTTGTTCAATAAAATATCCCAGCATTTAACATAGGTATACATGAATCCATACCAATATGAACAAAAGTTTGAATTAATAAAGAAATCAGTGAGAGGAGGAAAACTGTCTTTTTCAAATAATTCTAAGTGAAATATGTAGCTGTCTGCTCTCCCTGAGGTCAAGCTTAATTCTGCACCCCACTTGCTGAGGGCAGGGCTGATTTCATGACTTCCTTCTAAAGAACAGAGTAGGGAATGAAAAAATAGTTATTAGAAACTTGACAGACACCACTTTAACCGAGTGATGAAACATTATCACCAGTGACTTCATGTGGGCACTATGTAAACCCAGATATGATGTGACAAGAAGGGCACTTCAACTCTGTGGTATTCTTTCTCAGAACCTATAACACTAGTCTAATCACAAGAAAAACTAAGTCTGTGCTCCTCCAGACAATCAGTCATGAAAATTGCCTGACAGTTCCTCGCATGGATAGAGTTATCATATGACCCAGCAATTCCATTCCTAGGTACACACCCAAGATCAACACATTTGTCTACATAAAAACTTGTATACAAATGTACGTAGCAACCTTATTTGCAATAGCCCCAAACTGGAAACAACCCAAATGTCCATTAATTGTTAAATGTGTCTAAAATGTGATATATTATGATTATTCTTTGCCAATAAAAGGAATGAAGTATGGATATGCCATAATATAGATGAACCTTCAAAATATATGTGAAGTGGAAGAAGATATATGCAAAAGACCAAATATTATATAATTGCATTTACATGAAATTTCTGGAGTAAAGAAATCCACAGAGACACCAAGCATATCTGTGGTTTAAGGCCTGGGGTGGAAGCAAGGACTAATTGCATTCAAGCATGATGAGACTTTTTGGAGTGATGAAAATGTCTAAAACTTAATTATGGTATGGGTGAAAAACTCTATACATTTAATAAAATTCATCAAATTATAAGCTTTAAATGTGTAAATTATATTGTCTGTAGGTTTAGCTGCAAGAAAGCTGTTAAAAATATGATAATGGCCGGGCGCGGTGGCTCACGCCTGTAATCTCAGCACTTTGGGAGGCCGAGGCGGGCGGATCACAAGGTCAGGAGATCGAGACCACGGTGAAACCCCGTCTCTACTAAAAATACAAAAAATCAGCCGAGCGCGGTGGCGGGCGCCTGTAGTCCCAGCTATTTGGGAGGCTGAGGCAGGAGAATGGTGTGAACCCGAGAGGCGGAGCTTGCAGTGAGCCGAGATGGCGCCACTGCACTCCAGCTTGGGCGACAGAGCGAGACTCCGTCTCAAAAAAAAAAAAAAAAAAAAAAAAATATGATAATGATCTGGTCTTCTGATATTGATTTGATGTACCTGCTTCATATAAACATGAATGTATACGACTGTTGCTATATCCCAATCTGCTGACTCTTTCCTGTGTTCCTCCAAGCAGTGACTGTCCCCTTTCCCCTCATGCTACTTTGGGTTTTGCTTGTGTGCAAAATTTGATAACTTCTGATCACTTCCACATCCTCCAATTATGGTAGTGGCTTGAGAGTTGATCCATGACAAAGTCCAGCACCTGCCTTGTGTGACTAGATGTCAACATTACCAGTTTCTTCATTCCTCTGCAGCCACATGACTCCACCTGGGGAGCCTATATGGAACTACCTTTATGGGTGTCAGTACGGCAATACCTTGCAAAGGGTTACATAGGTGTACACCTTTTGCACCAACAATTCTCTTTTAGAAGTTTATCTTCAGGACATAGTGGAAGATGTTGATGAGGATCCAGTGTTAAGGCCTGTCATCCTGACAATTCCCTTCCTTCACTGCAGAGCCTGAATTTAGAGACCAAATGGAACATAAGGCCATAAAGGGGCAGAAGGAAGAGGGAAACGTAATTGTCAGCACACAGACTCTCTCTCATATGACAATCATGTTCTGTTATCACAATACCAGAATTCTCCTAGGAGGAACACATTCTGCTCACCAGTACAAACAGCTACAGGAACTGTGCCCAGAGCTGTGCTCTTTTGTGGTGCAAAGACTCTGAAAAGATTTAATCCACAGAATGTCAGTAATAGGAGCTATCAGAACACTCTGAATAACACAGAGTTGTAAAACTGATAATATTACATCCATAGGATAGAATTCTAGAAGGTAGCAAAAACAAATTATAATAAAAATAATGATGAAAAAATGATATCTTGCAGACAAGATTAATGATTCACATTATTTTTAATGTGTGGAAAAACAGGTATTTTCATACTGCGATATAAGGAATATAAATGAGTAATAGTATTTTGAAGAATATTATAGTTCAAAGGGTTTTGAAATGACATTTTCAGGAACTTATAAATAAATGCTCACAAAGATATTTGCGTCTGTCTATATGAGCATAGGGTTAAGTATATTATTGTTTGTAATAGAAAAAAAATAGTAAGGGAACTAAATTTTTGTAATTAGGATACCAATTAAATAAATTTTAGGGCATCCACATGATGAGATGATACCCAGGTCATTAAAAAAAAATGACACTAAAATTTTGTTGTAGTTATTTCAAATGTTATCATAAAAATATATTTATACAGAAAGGTAATCACAATAACAGTAAAAGTGGGTTACAGAAATCATAAATGGTCTGATCCCATTTTTGCTTATATAGGCTTCTAGCTATTTAACCACAAGTCTCAACGCATAAACGTTAAAATGATCTTTTAGTTCCTCTCACATACCTCTTTCTCTTTAACATACTAAAAACCTGTACTTCCTGCTTAGAGGCCCTCAGTATCTTTTTTGCTTGTGTATGCCACCTTTTACACCCAGACTTCCAGAAAGTTCTATCTTGTAAGTTTGGGCCACAGTCCCTCCCTTTCACCTTCCAGCTTACACTAGTTCAGGCTGCAGTTCAGGCTTCTGTTACAAGGTGGCACCAATGCACCGCCATTATCAAACTTCTCTGCAAAGAAGTGTATGCAAACACCAAAAAATACACTACCTCCCTAAAAACCTAGCTTATGAACCTTTATGAAATCATTCAAATGATTCAAATTCTGCCTGAAAAAAACTTTAAAGTGCAAAAGAGGACCATAAAACAACAACAACAACAACAACAACAACAACAACAT